ATCATAAATTCTACTTGAAACAAAAAGCAGTCAAATTTAACTCTTCTAATTACCACGAAGCTTATAAACGTTGTAGCAATGAACTTAACAAAAGAATCAAAGCAACTAAGGTTCAATTTTACAACACTAAACTACAAAACAGTAAAAATAGTAAAGAAGGTTGGAATACATTAAATAATCTGCTTAACAGGAAATCCAAAACCACAATTGTTAATGAACTTAGCGTAGACCATGGAAAAAATGTAACACAAGATAAAGCCATAGTCGACGAGTTTAGTAAATTCTTCACTTCTATAGGTCCCAAATTAGCAAATAACATTGCTGACAATGGCTGTAGTCCTGATCCTTTGTCATATATAGACCAAGTCACAAATGTATTTCACTTTCATAGCATATCAAGCTATGAGCTGAAAAGAGAAATACAAAATATGCAAATGGCAAAATCTACAGGTCTAGATAAGATCTCAACTAAGCTAATAAAACAGGCAGGCGATACAATAACTGAATCACTTCTTGAAGTGTTTAACCTATCTCTTAGGACAGGAATATTTCCAGATGATTGGAAATTTGCCAAAGTGACTCCAATATATAAGTCAGAAAACAAAACCTTATGTGAAAACTATAGACCGATATCAGTCATTTCGAATATCGCCAAAATATTTGAGAAATTGGTCTGTAGACAACTAAATACCTTCCTGGATAACAACAACATAATTGTAAAAAATCAATCAGGTTTCCGTCGCAATCACTCAACCGAAACCTCGTTACTACAATCTACTGAAATGTGGTTGAAATCAATGGACCAGGGTCAAATAAATGGGGTTATTTTCTTAGACCTGAAAAAAGCATTTGATACGATTGATCACCAGATTTTATTGTCAAAACTACAAGCTTATGGGATACGCGACCACACGCTCAAATGGTTCCAATCGTATTTAGATCAAAGAAAGCAAATTTGCATGCTAAATAACTGTAAATCTGATATTGAAACAATTCGTTGTGGAGTACCTCAGGGTTCAAATCTTGGACCTCTATTATTTCTCATTTACATAAACGATCTTCCAAACTGCCTAGAAACAACACACTCTAATTTATTTGCTGATGACACAATTTTATCATGTCAAGGGCATTTATCCATAGATATTGAATACAAACTTAACAAAGACCTAGTAAATGCTCAAAAATGGTTATTAGCGAATAAACTAACATTAAACAACGAAAAAACCAAATATATGATTATTGGATCTCGGCAACGATTGAAAAACTTAGATCACGCGCCAAAAATCAGTATAAACGGACATCAAATTGAACGAGTTTATAAAAAGGAAGCTTTGGGTATAGTTATAGACGATAGACTTAGCTGGAATAAGCAAAATGAAGAACAATGCAACAAGATATCAAAAAATATTAATATTTTAAGAAAAGCCAAAGATTTTGGTGGCCTAGATACGCTCAAAATTATGTATAACGCATTAGTCGCGCCTCATTTTAACTACTGTTCAACTTTTTTTTTTCTGTGTTGGTGTAGTGTACTCAGGTGAATATGATATTTGTGGTGTTACTCTGAGTGTATATCCACACCGGGCGAGCTTGAAAAATATGCCCGGCCACGGTGGGCATATTTCATGTATTGTAATTATTTGCAGAAGACGTTGAAAAATATGCCCGTGGCCGGGCATATTTTTCAAGCTCGCCCGGTGTGGATATACACTCAGAGTAACACCACAAATATCATATTCACCTGAGTACACTACACCAACACAGAAAAAAATTCATATTAATAGAATACACTGGTATCGAAGGAACTAGATCCTGTTCCGAAATATCACTTACTCGAACCGTCCTGACCGCGTAGCTCAGTTGGAAGAGCATTGGGCTAGTATTCCAAAGGTCGTAGGTTTGAATCCCACCGTGGCCGGGCATATTTTTCAAGCTCGCCCGGTGTGGATTTACACTCAGAGTAACACCACAAATATCATACTGTTCAACTGTTTGGCAAATTAACAACCAAACACACTTAGACAAATTATATAAGCTTCAGAAACGAGCAGCAAGAATAATAACAAATTCGGACTATACTATAAGATCTTCGGGCATTTTTCAAAAACTTAGCTGGAAACCTCTTGACTTAATTTTGAAAAAGCGAGATCTCCTTATGACATTTAAAGCGATTAATGGCATGCTTCCAGAATACGTAACACAACTATTTCACACTTGTGAAAACAATGGTTACGTACTGCGCAGTAGTAATATAAAGCTGTCTCAACCTAAACCAAAAACGAATTTCTTGAAAAATAGCTTTTCGTACAGAGGAGCAGCGTATTGGAACAACATCCCAGTAAACTTGTTGAAAACCCTAAGAGAATCAACGAGTTTAAAATCTGTCCATCATCTATTAAATAATTACATCTTGTAAATAAATAAATAAGTAAATAAGTATATTTTGTAAATAAGTATAATTTAGTTTATTAGTTCCTTCTTTTATAATGCATTTATTTTCCGCACGGCCCTTTGAAAATCACCTATGTGAAAGGTTACCGTGTTTAAAGATCAATAATAATAATAATAAATAATAATAATAATAATAATAATAATAATAATAATAATAATAATAATAATAATAATAAAAGCTTCAGCCCGGCCATTTTCGTCTAGATGTCGTTTCAACGAGCATATAATTTGGTATACTGTACGCCTGGGATATAGCTTGCCATCCTTGTCGCAAACTTCTTGAACAATTTTGATAAGCCAGAAGTTTAACGTTCTTGCCGTCATTGAACACAATTATGCCTCCAAATTTTGCAAATTCTGCAAATCTAAGCTGAAAGGATTGCTCTCACACATGACTGCTTTATTTTCTCGCCCACTTTGCCAATCTTCAAATATACGAACTCCCCAACGATTTTTATAACGCGTTGTTTGTGGAATAGCATTTAGGACGTTGTCAATGCTTCTTTCCACACTTTGAGGATCTCGAAATCTCCTCTTTTTGCAACTAGATGCCATGCTTCCTTCGAAGGGGAACAAATACTACAACAACAACGCCTTTAATTCGTTCCTTCGTTACGCATTCGCTTCATTGGACAACTTAATTCGCTATTGCTACTGCCTCATTGCTATGAATATATAATGATGTGTGAGAAGCAATCTCAAATTCTCGTTAGTGTTTTAAACTTGGCTTCCAAATCCCCAGTGCCATGAACAATGGCTCGGCTGCGCCTCGCCATTGTTCATGGCACTTGTATTTAGAAACCACGTCTAAAACACTAACTCGGATTTGAAATATTACTTCAAAAGTAGCAAAAAACAATAGTCCCATACTTCTACTCAGTTATTTACTGTTTTCTTTGGAAATAAGTTGAGGAAAAAACGATTTCCTAAAACGTTCAGTTCTACATAGATAATTGTTATACTTGCATCTTGGTCGCATATCGTAGTCTGCTGTTGCTTTATGATGCAATAGTTCGCTTAGTTTATCGTTATTCTCATTCTTTTTAAAAAATTGTTCACATAATGTTTCTCTCCTTGCTTTTAGTAAAGGGATACCAGTAAAATTCCGGGCTTCTCTGTAACTCATTAATGGCAACGAAATTCGCAAAGCACGCCTTTGAATCTTTTCAATGTCTTCGCTCAAATACTCTTGGATGTTAAAATGCCAGACTTGGCAGGCGTATTCAAGGACAGGCCTAATAATAGTGGTGTACACAGTGATTAACGTGTTCGTATCCGCGTTTGATCGTTTCCTCAGCACTCTCAGCATGTAGAGTCCGGCTTTTTCCTGCTTTTTTGACAACATTGTTTACGTGTTCTTTCCAATTCATATTATCCTGGACAATTAGTCCCAGAACCCGAGCTGATGATACACGGTCTACAGTAACGCCATTTATAATTAAAGGTGAGAATTCCTGTTTGTCTTTTGCAAAGTCTATTATCAATTCTTTGCATTTAATGATGTTCAGTTTCATATTATTAACGATGGCCCAATTGTAAATAGTATCCACAAGTTCTTGGAGAATGCTATTGATATCCGGTGTAATACTTTCAGTGATAGTACTATCGTCGACGTATTTCCATCTGTTATTCCAGTCAGTGAGATAGTGAGAAGGTCGTTTATCATAACGAGAAGAAGTATTGGCCCAAGAACTGTTCCTTGTGGCACACCTCCGTTTAAGGTGTGCCAATTTGATACACAGTTAGCTATCTTGACGCGTTGTTTGCGTTCGAAAAGGAAACTTCTAATCCAGTTTGTAATTATCGCTGGTACGAAGTTGATGTTGATTTGGATTCTGTGAGTCATTGGTCGGGAGCGAAGGAGTCATGTGATTATATGAGAAAGCGCGCGAACCAGAAGATCAGTTTTTAACCAGATCGTACTCGTACCAATACATGGGTCGGGTTTCAATACCATTGGGTGGGCACATGACTCCTTCGCTCCCGACCAATGACTCACAGAATCCAAATCAAACATCAACTTACAGGTAAGTCTCGTTTAATTTTGAATTCCGTTTCATCATTGGTCATTGGTCGCTACGGAGTCATGTGATTATATGAGATTTTAAAGCAGTACGAGTACAATAGTCAATACTCAGTTCAATGAAAGCCAATGACAGGCAAATTTTCATTATAACAAAACCCAACCATGAAACTGCAATAACACGTCTTACGATATACATTAGGTATATTAAGCCCTATTTTGTAACAACAAGTTGCCATAACTCTCTTTGGCTATTGGTTTTAACTTTGCAAAGGTTGATTCCTGAGACCATCCAGCATTTTGCATAATAATTTCAATCGGTATGTTCATAGCTTTGGCTGCTGAAGTAGACGCCGACCGAGTGCTGTGTGCTCCAAATTTGGCAATGTCTATACCAGCCAGCGCTAGAGTAGTTTTTAACCAACGGCTGATGGTGTCGGCGGACACTTCTTTATACGGTTTCTGGACGCTAATAAATAATTTATGCTGATTTCCTCTCAATAGCTCTGTTCGTTTGATGTACTCTGAAATATGTGCAACCGGCCAAAGGTTTCTATCCAATGTGTAAGACTTAAACTCAACAGAAGTCAAATGTTTGCCTGATCGTGAAGTTTTAAGCAATGACTTTATAACAAATGTACACTTGTTTAAACTTAACTGCATTGTGCTGATATCCAATGCATGCATTGTTTGCCCACGTTGCCCCGACAACAAGGCTAGTAACATTACAACTTTATAAGTGAGCACTTTCAATGTCTGTTCCTCAGGCGGACCCAAACCAGATAAGTAGTCCAACATCACATTCGCATCCCAAGTCTCTCCATAACGTGGTAGAGATGGTCTTGTCTTGAATACACCCTTCATGAAGTGGCTTACTAGCGGGTGAGTTCCAAATGCTTCACTGTCCGATGAATAAGTGTAGTTGATAATGCACTCCTAGCTGTATTTAGAGCATTATACCCAATATCTTCCTCGTAAATTTCTGCTAGGAAATTTACTCCATCTTCTATAGTTGCTGAAAGTTGATCCATTTTCCTTGAATTACAGTACTGTAGCCATTTATTAATGTATGGTGTGTATTGTCTTTGTGTACTCTTCCTCCACGATGACAATATGACGGATAAAGCTGCTTCTGATAGTCCTTTATTTTCGAAGGCTTGCCTGAAACATGGCATAGTAGTAGTATTAATTTGGGATACAGTGGGTGTACAAGGTCTGGTTTGGTGGGTAATTGTAACATCTTCTTGTTGTTCGGGAGAACAACTGGATCCTGGATGACCATGTGCATTAAATATGGCCACTAGGGTTGGGTTGGCCAATTTGAGACCACAATCAGCCCGGTGCTCTCCTCCTCTCGAATTTTTGGTAAGACTAATGGTACTATGCTAAAAGGAGAAAATGCATAAAATAAGTATGATTGCCATGAAATTGCGAAGGCATTAACTGCCTCAGCCTCAGGATCAGGCTGGTAAGCAATAAAGGGTTTCAATTTATAATTTAATCGAGAGGCAAACTGGTCAATAACTGGTTTTATCCCTAACCTCTGGGTACCCTGTTGAAATATTTCTGGGTCTAAGGCCCAATCAGTTTGATCTCTAGCTTTTCTAGACTCAGCATCAGCTGCCTCATTTTCTTTGCCTGGTATGTGTGCTGTAGTTAAGAACACCCGATGTATAATACACCAAGTCCAAATTTCTCGAGTTAAGTTGTTGCGATTACTAGAATGGCTGGTACCCATTTTACCTATGTCTGATACCGCCGTCATGTTGTCAATTCTAACACATACATGTTTACCCAGCAACTGTGTCTGAAAGGCTTTTAGAGCAAAAAATTTATGTGGTGGATTGCTTCAGAGGGAGTCCATCGACCCCCGATGGTGACTTTGCCTAAAACACCACCCAAACCTTGATTGGATGTATCGGTAAACAGAGTTAGTCCGGGCTGTGAAAGGCCAATGGGTTTAAACAGGCTGTCAGCCGAATTAACCTACCAGTGCAAATCATCATATGATGCTTTTGACAATTACATATGTTTATCAAAATTTCCTTTATTTAGTTTTAGTGCCTCAGTTTTGTCCATGTCAAGGTCTCTAAAATGTAAAGGTCCAAATTGCGCAGCTGGAAAATTGGATACTAGTAGACCCAACACTGACGCCACCTGGCGAATAGTTGGGGCAGCATTTTGTATAAGTTCTGTGCATAAAGCTTTTATTTTTGGCACCTTATCTTTACTAGGGTAAACCCTCATTTCTACAGAATTAATTGTAAAACCAAGAATGGTCATCTGTTGTTTAGGAATCAGGGATGACTTGTCAGGATGGATCACAAATCCTACAGAGTCAAACAATTTTGTTGTGTCTAACACATTACTTGCACAATCATCATAATCGCCACCTTGAAGATTGGAATCATCAATGTGACTGACAGAAATATGACCTAGCTGTCTTAAGTATGAATTAATTGGTTTCAACAGCTTTGTAAACTTTCTAGGACAGAAAGCCAAGTCATTAGGGAAACAAGTAAACTTATACAGTTGCCCTTTCCAATTAAATTTTAAATACTTTTGATGTTCTGGATGTATTGGCACTGAATAATATGCATGCTTTAAATCTACTGAAGCCATAAAGCAGTTGGGCTTAACCATGTTTACAATGGTAGAGAAGGAATCCATTTTAAAATGTTTGTATTCGATAAATTTGTTTAGAGATTTGAGAATTAAGATCATTCTGAACGATCGAAGACAAAAATCAACAACGAAGTTGTTTAACGAAATAGCCAGCAACTCACATCATAATTTATACGACCTCCTCTGGCCATTAAATATCGACGATCACTTTTTAAGGAATCATAGAAATTTTGAACTTCCTGTGTGTAAAACGAACAGACTTAATGACAGTTTTATCATGCACAATTCTAATATACATTTTAGATAATTGATTCGATTTTTTTAATACTTTTAAATGTAAATAGGGTTCATAGCATATATTCTTAATATGTTATATCTGTTAAACTTAGCGTAATTCAGCTGTAAAATTTTCTGAGGCTGTAAGTTCTAAAGTTCAATAAACCATCTATCTCTCTATCTCATTCTTGCTGACCCATCCTTTTTTTGCTGTTGTAAAAATAGGGGAAATATATTCCCCCTTTTCATGTTCCGTAAGAACAACGACGCCTTTCTAGATCTTAAGGAGAGTTTCAATTTCTACGGCAATTGCCTGTGTTTGTATGTGATCATATGTTCTCTCCTTAGGACCAAACAATTGAAAGGGCTTTAGCGAAAATTCAAGTTTTTGCCCCAATACCATGCCTAAAATCTCAGCGTCTGAGGTAATAAACATCCATTCGTTGTGAAATTCACGAAGTCGACCTGCGCTAAAGCATGCGACTTTATTTTGGAAATATGTTATAAGTGAATTACAAGTCGAAGTATTTACCTGTGTAATGGCGGGAAACGTCGTTGTTGTAGTTAATGCTGGGCATGCTGGTTCTTCTTCCTGGCTTGGAATTGAGGCTTGTTTTGGTAGGGGCGATAATTGTTGCCCCTACCTTGCCATAAAAAAGCCTTACCGTTATTACTATTAGGAAACGATTTCCCTTTTTGACGGGCTTTTGAGGTGTCAAAATGGCGCCTAGGAAAGGCATTCTGGGCGGCTTGACTCTGGATGCTCGTAACTTCTTGGCTGATTTTATTCGAAGCCTTTATACTGGTTAACCGGGACTGCAAGTCATCCCCAATGATTCCGTTATTGGCGTTTGGGACGAACATAAGGATGAATATTCCTTGTTTACGTTCGGTTTTATCAGCTCACGGCGACGCAGCAGGAGTTCGACATGAACGTGACAGAGCATTGCCAAGGCGTCAGTATTGTTGGTCACGAGGTCGGCAAGTTGTTGTTTGAGTTCAGCGTCTGAACTTATGTTTGCTCTGATATTCACAAGGGAATCAGTAGATTTAGTTAGAGCAACCCCGACTTTGACGAGTGTTTTTTGAAAGTTGATCAATTTAAGGTCTGCACCTCGAGCAGTATGGTTGAGCTTTGACCAAATCTCAGGGTTTACTTTCGGCACTGCGAGTTTCTCGCAGTTGTCTGGCTGGTCATATTTTCCCATCTTGCCCTTCATTTTGGGCTCTTCCAACCTTGAGGACCAACGCTGATTTATGATATCTGCCAGCTTCTGGCTAACCTTTGGTCCTGTCGTAGCCTCATCAGCGAACTCTTGAGCTATCTCGCTCAATAAGTCATCCTCAGCTACTGAGGGGATTGAGTTTGGCGCTTCGCCATTTTGGCCGCCTTCTGTTTGCGGCACGATAAGCTGCTCCGAATCTGAGAGTTCCACTTCTGCGTCAGAATGTGGACTATCACTCTCAGTTTCTTCAGCAACTCGAAGCCTTTTCGTTGGTCTTTCCTTGTCAGTTTCGACCTGAGAAAAACGTTTCAGGACAGATCTCAAATCCTCGCCCATGCTCTTAACCATAGCTTTTAGGTTTAGATTGTCTTCGTCTTAGAACTGTCTTCTTGCTCGTCTTCACCGGCTAATAACAAAGCTAAGCTGCTTCTCGCTCCTCCGAAAGGGCGTCCCTTTCAGCAGAGTTAGTCGCAGCCATAGTCACGGATGAAGGATTTTATTCGTTTTAAATATCACTCTGGTTTTCTTTGAACTGACCTTCGCAAGGATCTTGCACAACTGATCTTCTGGTTCGCGCGCTTTCTCATATAATCACATGACTCCGTAGCGACCAATGACCAATGATAAAACAGAATTGCTATCATCATCCACATGGACAGAAATTGGAGTCCCTCCAAAACATGTCTCAAGAAGAACGCGATCATCAATTTATGTTGCCAAAAGTTTACACAGAACGTGTTAAACAATCATTTTTTAGATAAGTGTCTTTCTAATGACTTACTATATCTTACATGTACTGCAAAGTTGCGCGTTTGTTTCATCTCCAATATTTATGATATATTTTAATAACGACGTACGAATGAATGTCCCATGTGGTCTAGTGGTTAGGATCTGGCGTTTTCACCGCCGTGGCCCGGGTTCGATTCACGGCATGGGAATGCTTTTTAGGATATTCGATGACTTTTGTTTCGGCGACTGCATAGTGGATATTCAAGTGCAAAATCTGTTTAACGATGGCCTTGTGGCGCAACTGGAAGCGCGTCTGACTCCAGATCAGAAGGTTAAGTGTTCAAATCACTCCAAGGTCATGACGAGTACCGAGGAACACCAACACAGAAAAAGTCATATTACTAGATTGCATTGGTATCGAAGGAACTAGATCATGTTCCGAAAATATCCCATACTCGAACCGTCCTGACCGCGTAGCTCAGTTGGCAGAGCATTGGACTAGTATTCCAAAGGTCGTAGGTTCGATTCCCACCGTGGCCGGGCATGTTTTACAATCTCGCTCGATGTGGATATACACTCAGAGTAACATCATAAATATCATAAAAAAATGCAACCTGAACAACATTTTTCACGAAGGCAAAGGGCACTTTGCCACCGGAGAAAGGGAACTTTTTGTGTTTTCTGAAAACTTGGGAGGTAGGGGGGGGGGGCCTTGGCCCCCTCTGCCCCTGCGGTTCTTACGTCCCTGTTTTCACTGCTTGTTTCTTAAGGTAATCTCTTTGATAACTTAGTTGTTTATGTCACTGTTAAGCCATAGGCAGCTTTCATATCTTATTCCTTGATCTATATGTGGCGCATGAATATCTGCAATTTGATGAAATATTTCCTTCCACTAATGCAATGCAGTATTCGGATTTGGATGTAACGTATAGTGTCTAAACGCTTCTATTAAGTCATGCTGGAAGTCACCTACAATCTTCGGCTCCTGTTTAGGAATTCCTATTTTTCAACAAATATATGCCAAGTTATGGTCATTTATACCCACTTCCATTACCCCCGATCGAATAGTTTTTAGTATCATCAATTTTCGTGATTATGATGTCTATATCAATGTTTTTGTCCTAATAGTAGTTCTGGTTGGCATGCTGATATGTTGTCGTAATTGATAGATGTCTATCAGGTCCAGAAGTATCCTAGTATTAACATTATTATTACTTTGGTTATTCAACATATTGCAGTTGAAATCACCTGTTATCTTTCATTGTCGATATTTTAAGGACAGTTTCGAAATCATTAAAAAATTGCGGTTTTGATCCTGGAGCGCGGTACCAAATAGAAACTAATAATGGTTTGCTTCAGCAGTATCTGGAGACAATTCAGTCCTATTTATGTATGGAATAACACTCCTCACATAAATAGCTACTCCTCCTCCATTTCGATGTTTGTCGTAAGGTTTCTTATCAAGTCGTAACCAGCTATTTCAACTTCAGAATTATATTTACAGCTAACAAGTCTTGTTTCATTAATACAAAGTACGTCAAAATATTGCTTAGATATAAAATATAGACAATTCATCTTTATGTTTCATTAAGCTAGCAATATTTCAATGTCCAATATTGAAGCCCTTAAGCCTGGGATAAGTCACTTCACATTCATTCAAACTATTAATTAATGTTGGGGTTGTAGAGTTTTCATTACTGTTACCTACTGTTGGACTTTCATAAGGAGGCCGTCAATAATTAATTTTTAAAGTGTCAATAACATTTTTTGCAAATGTTGCAGTTCCTTGTTTGTTGAGGTGAAACCCATAAGGATTTAAGTGCTTCCAAGGATATTTTTATGAGATATGTGACCCCAATCGTTATTGGTGCATACCTGTGTCAGCCTCGTATTGACTTGTTTGACTTTTGTATTGATTTGTGGGTCGTCGTTTCTTGTTATCAATTCTGAGATGATTAGCTTCGTTGTTGGGAATCCCCTGTTGATTTCATCTCCAAGGTTAGCTATTGACATTGATATTTGATGTGGGGAACTTTGTTTTAAATCATTCGTTCCGACAGTGCATAATCAAATAATCAGGGGCATGGGTGAGTGTTGGCTTAACGTAGTGATGCAAATCTACCACTATGATCGTTTAAAGAATTTAGTGAAAAATTGCCATCATCCACATAGACAGAAATTGGAGTTTCTCGAACACATATTCCATGTGGTCTAGTGGTTAGGATCTGGCACTCTCTCCGCCATTGCCCGTGTTCGATTCCCAGATTCGATGCCTTTTAGGATATTCGAAGTCTTTTCATTCGACGACTGCATCGTGGATATTCATCGGCAAAATCCTTTTTATGTTGGCCTTGTGGCGCAAGTGGTAGCGCGCCTGACTGGAGATCAGAAGGTTAAGTGTTCAAATCACTTCAAGATCATGGCGAATACCGAGGTAAATTTTTGACATTAATTTTAGAGGACTTTTACAATTAGTGGTAGCTAAAATTTTGGTTGATCCAATTCAAATTTGGTCTTCACCGCGGCGGATTTGGAATTTGGTTGGTAGCATCACTTCTTCAGTCAACGGTAGTCCTCATTAAGCGCCAATTACCGACAAATAGTTGCGAGGCTGAGTTCGTGTTGACATTTTTGCATTTTCATTAAGGCGCGAAAGTTTAATTTGAATTAAATTATTTTACAGTTTAATTAAACAGAGTTATATCACTTATGTATGCTCAAATTACTTTATATATGTTCGTTGTTGAATCAATATGGGGATGGCGCACAACAGCATCAGGATAGGCAATGCATCAATGAAAATATAAACAGTAAATATAATATACTGGCTATCGTGCATTTTACAAGAGTGTGGCTGTGTAGCGGTGAGTAAACAATAGCGCAATTTATTATACAGTGATAATTTTGACACACAGCTGAACTTTGAACTTTATAACTGACTTAAAAAGTAATTAAAGGACAATGGACTTTGCAACAAGTCAACTTTATTACTTAAATAAAGACAAGATTCTATACACCAATGAATTAAACTAGATTTAACCCCAATCTCAGAAATCGTAATTGTTTGACCAGCTGCACTTTGTCTATAATATGTGCTGTTTTAAATTAAATATGTGAAATCAATATCCGAAAGACTTTCAGTGAATTATGTCTAACCATGCATAATTCTGCTTCTTTTGAATAATAAAAGAATAATAAATAATAAAAGAATAATAATGAACAATAAAATAATTATTGAATTCGGCCGACGCAGGATAACGCTTACCTCGGTCTGAATAATTCTGATATCCTGCTCAGCTCGACATCCAATAATTCTTAATTATACGGAATTATAAGAAGCAATAAGATCATATAAAATAAGCGAAAAGATTAATAAGAACCATATGAATACCACAAAAAAACCGTTTATCGAAATGTTCAGGAAAAGTCAAGGAAAAATACTTGTAATCATCAAACAACACTGCCTTATTAGTATTCTTTATATAAAAAATACTAATTAGAAGTGTTTTATCAGATTTAAAGCCACCCCACGTGACATATTATGGTTGACATGATTTGCCAATAAACTTATGAATTATTAATCGTGTTTGAAGTGTATTTAATATTCCATATATTTTGATCAAATTACTCCATCTGCCCGACATCTTCATCTGGCTGCCCGACATCTAGCCCTTTACGGTTATTACGGGTAGCCAGTACCTATATCTGATATTTATAAGTGAATTGTAATAGTGTAATAGTTATTTTCTTTGGGGTACAAATAAATTGTTGTTGCTTTTCCATATGCCTCACAGTTTAATACTCGCGCATGAATGACTTGCATGTCGATCGGTTCATCAGAACTTCAGACAAGATCATAAGCTCGTACTTTCGTACACCAGATGGACATGGATTTAACTACCTGAAAAATACAAGTAACTAACTTTGACGTTTCGAGCGAAAGCCCTTCGTTGGAAATTTAGCAGCCTGAATTTAAGCCCGTTAATTTTCCACTAGGCGAATTTGTTTGCGCGACGCGAAGCGAAAAACAAATCTTGGCAATGTGATTGGTCAGCGAAAAAATTCACCGGGAAAAAGTTGGATCAGTTCATACTCTTTTACTGTTCGCGCGAACAAATTCGCCTAGTGGAGAACGAGCTTTAGTAACACACCAACTTCCCGACAAAGGTCCTTTGCTCGAAGTTTTACTGATATTTTTCAGGTAGTTGAATCAATATCCATCTGCATTCATGTCAGACCATATTTAATTTTGTTGGACTAAGCTAAGTGCTTTTGCAACGACATTTTTTATATCATTTTTTATGATTGTATCGTAGAGAAAATTCGAAATGACTATAGTAAGATACTTTGCCAAACTATCTTGGCTTGTTTCTTTCTTGAGATATTCAAGAATGTTCGATGCGCAAACTGTCCTAACTATGTCTATGATGTCAAATTAAATTGCATAAAGATTCGTGAAATTTAACTTGTAACTCTTATAGATAACTGATACGAATCTGTCGACATATAGATGCACGATATCGCCAGATCATGCAGTTTCTTTCAGAAAGTTGTTTTGCAATGTGACGTCATAATGAGGGTATAATTTGCATATCAAAAATTAAATA